CATATCTAACCAACTCTCGTCATCAACCTTTAGAAGAGATTTGTGATGTGGCCCCACGTACCTCCTCACCGCCTGAACAAGGTACCTCAACTTCGTACCCTACGCGACTCGGCCCCTTTCGAGAGCCGAGCGACAATGTAGCGGACCCGGGACACCGCTACGATGGTGGACGGGGTTCTGCAGGTCAAGGGTCTCAAAATATGCCCACATATCCGGAAATACCTCTTGATACTGCCTTTCAAGCTGACCATGCACTACCATCCCAGGCAATGGTTCCAGGCCTCCAGATGTCTCCGGGTGTTGACCGCAAACAGTATTCCAATAGCAGAGATCCTACCATTGGTACATATGCATTTCTCCCGGGGCTGAATCCTATTCCCTCTGCCTCAGCCGCGCATCCAGATAATGACCATTGCGGTTGTGGCAAATGTACCCGTCGGAATCCTCCATATTCTCCGATCAACGACTATCCTCGAAATCGGTACACACCTTCAACAATGCATCCATATAATGGACAGCCTCATTTTCCCACAACCTTCGCTAGCGCCGAGTCCTTCCCAGCTCCGCAGACAGACACCGCTGAGATACCCGCTGACCAGCGCGGGAGATTTGGCTATGTCCCTTCATTGAGCCATGTCGTCGGCTTTCCACCAGGATACTTGCCTCTCGACTCCATATCCTCGGGAGAGCAAACTTTCCATTCCGCTCCCTCGAAGGAGTTGATGGCCATAAGGTATCACGGTCTGTCGATACCCCAGAATAGCAACGATCCCTCCATTCCCTTACGAGTATTAAAAATCCCTCTCAACGCCAGTATCTCGCATAGTCCGCCAGAACCCGCACATGCAGGCGGTATCATTTTTTCTCTCCATTCCTCAGAGAAAAAACCCCACAAAAACTCTGTGGACAAGGGAGCTGCGGAACTGTTGCAGAGGTTTGCTGATGTGAGAGAAGACAAATGGGGGAAATGGAAAGATGGTTTGTTTCAAGAGCCCAAAGGGCAACGCAAGGGCTCTACAGTGCGGAATTCTGCTGAAACCCTCCATAAGGATCTAATCTGTGCAAGAATAGATTCTAGTATAACGGCAGCTATCCCCTCCGAGGCGACGATAAGTGCGCTTGATGAAGTCCTCTTGAAGGTTCGAGAAGGAGCCGAATGCAAGAAAGGAGTGGAGCTTCTGAGATCCCTAGTAGTATTTTACGCAGGAAATACCGGGGATAGTTTGTCAACGGTGATCCTAGGAATATTAGCTAAGTTTAAGGAGGGGTGGAGTTTCCTTGTTGTTGATGACGGTACCAACTCAAACCTCCCAAGTGGTCCCGAGCAAATATCCTATTCGATTGCTTCAGCATCAAAACCCAAAGATGGATCAACTCACGATTCGGGCACCACACTAGATCCGCAGCAAATTTGGCGGAAATCCTTACTCATCCAAAAAGATTCGCCTCCGGACCAAGATGGATCACACAAACAAGGAACTAAACGCAAGAATTTTCAGCTTGGTGTCGTGAACAATGAGGGTGGAGGCTCCATAAGCGCAGAGAATAGCTGGGATACCAGTCAGAACGTACTGGCCAAGCTGGCGAGATATTTCCTCGATGGTAAACCTTCTTATCAATGTTTCGCTTGGTAAGTAGACATAGCTTTGGAGCTTCGGCCGATGCTAATGTAAACACATAGCGAGCCCGACAAATTTGCAACCGCGGAAAACCTATCGCGTCATATGAGTGATGCACATGGTGTTCCAAAGAAGGGAAAGAAAAAACAACAAGTAGAGTACGTCATCATCTAAAGTGCACGGTGTCATAGTAGCTGACCTTTATTTCTTGTTACAACCATGGGCGGAGTAGTGAAAGCAATGTAGTCACGTCTGCAAGTGTTATTAACAGGTCCGATAAGCAATGAGGGACTGAATACCATTTTGGTCCTGAAATGGTAAGGTGATTTGAATGGCTAGGCTTGCGATGATGACTCCGGTTACTGGGTGCACATCCCAACGTCTAGATTCTATTTACCCAAGTTTCTGATGTCCATTGCAGGTGGGAGCGACCTGGATCAGGTGCCT